AAAGGGCTCAGGGGAGTTTTGGGGGGCTGGGGGGGGGGCTCTGGTCCTGTCCTGGGGGTTTTGGTGTCCCTGGATGGGTTTTTGGTGTCCCCAGTGTCCCCAAATGTCCCCAAAATCCCCCAGATGTGCAGGACTTGGGGCTCTGGTCCTGTCCTGGGGGTTTTTGGTGTCCCCAAATGTCCCCAAATGTCCCCAGATGTGCCGGACTTGGGACTCCTGGGAGGTTTTTGGTGTCCCTGAGGAGGCTTTTGGTGTCCCCAATGTCCCCAAACGTCCCCAGATGTGCCGGACTCGGGCCGCCGGCTGCTGCGGGACGGGGCTCTGGTCCTGTCCCACCTGGAGCCCAACGACTCCATGGTCGCCCAGTGCGAGGCCACCAACAGCCACGGGCGGCTCCTGGCCAACGCCTTCGTCTACGTCGTGGGTGAGTCACAGCCGGGACCCCCGGGAACCCCCCAAAATCTGATCCATCCCCCCAAAATCTGATCCATCCCCCCAAAATCTGATCCATCCCCCCAAAAACCCCCAAAAACCTCCAAAATCTGATCCATCCCCCCAAAATCTGATCCATCCCCCCAAAATCTGATCCATCCCCCCAAAAACCCCCAAAATCTGATCCATCCCCCCAAAATCTGATCCATCCCCCCCAAAAACCCCCAAAATCTGATCCATCACCCCCCAAAATCTGATCCATCACCCCCCAAAATCCCCCAAAAATCCCCCCCAGAGCTCCCAGAGAGGATCCCAGGGGGGATTTGGGATCCAGGGAGGGATTTTGGGGTCCCAGGGGAGGAATTTGGGGGTCCCAGGGGGGAATTTTGGGTCCAGGGAAAGATTTTGGGATTTTGGGGGTGGATTTTGGGATTTTGGGGGTGGATTTTGGGATTTTGGGGGTGGATTTTGGGATTTTGGGGATGGATTTTGGGATTTTGGGGGTGGATTTTGGGATTTTGGGGGTGGATTTTGGAATTTTGGGGATGGATCTGGGGATCCTGGGGGTGGATTTTGGGATTTTGGGGGTGGATTTTGGGATTTTGGGGGTGGATTTTGGGATTTTGGGGGTGGATTTTGGGATTTTGGGGGTGGATTTTGGGATTTTGGGGGTGGATTTTGGGATTTTGGGGGTGGATTTTGGGATTTTGGGGGTGGATTTTGGGATTTTGGGGGTGGATTTTGGGATTTTGGGGGTGGATTTTGGGATTTTGGGGGTGGATTTTGGGATTTTGGGGGTGGATTTTGGGATTTTGGGGGTGGATTTTGGGATTTTGGGGGTGGATTTTGGGATTTTGGGGGTGGATTTTGGGATTTTGGGGATGGATTTTGGGATTTTGGGGGTGGATTTTGGGATTTTGGGGGTGGATTTTGGGATTTTGGGGGTGGATTTTGGGATTTTGGGGGTGGATTTTGGGATTTTGGGGGTGGATTTTGGGATTTTGGGGGTCTCTGAGCACCCCAAACCCCCCCAGAGCTGCCGGTGCAGATCCTGAGCCCCAACTCGTCGCTCTACGAGCTGGTGGAGAACCAGACGGCGTTCCTGCACTGCCGCGCCTTCGGAGCCCCCGCGCCCACCGTGGAGTGGTGAGAGACCCCAGACCCAAAACCCGCCCCAAGCCCCTCCCCCTTTCCTTTAACTCCTCCTTCTTTTGGCCTTTTCTTTTTGGCTTTTTTTGGAATTTTTTTGGCTTTTTTTGGACATTTTTTGGGCTCCCCAGGCTGTTCCTCCCCTGTTACTCTGCCCTTACTCCTTCCTTAATCCTCCCTTACTCTGCCTTTACTCCACTGTTCCTCCCCCGTTCCTCCTCCGTTACTCCGCGGTTACTCCCCTGTTACTCCCTCATTACCCCTCCCTTACTCCCCCGTTACTCCCTGGTTACCCCTCCCTTACTCCTTCATTACTCCCTGGTTACTACGCCCTTACTCCTTCGTTACTCCCCGTTACTCCCCCGTTACTCCGCGGTTACTCCCCTGTTACTCCCTCATTACCCCTCCCTTACTCCCCCATTACTCCCTGGTTACTACGCCCCGTTACTCCCCCGTTACTCCGCGGTTACTCCCCTGTTACTCCCTCATTACCCCTCCCTTACTCCCCCGTTACTCCCTGGTTACCCCTCCCTTACTCCTTCATTACTCCCCGTTACTCCCCCGTTACTCCGCGGTTCCTCGGTGTTTCCTTGCTGTTTACTCCCTGTTTTCTCCATGTTTACTCAGTGTTCACTCAGGGTTCACTCCCTGTTTACTCCTGGTTTACTCGGTGTTTCCTCAGTGTTTACTCCTGGTTCACTCGGTGTTTCCTCAGTGTTTACTCCTGGTTTACTCGGTGTCTCCTCAGTGTTTACTCCTGGTTTATTCCATGTTTACTTGGTGTTTCCTCGCTGTTCACTCTCTGTTTCCTCAGTGTTTCCTCGCTGTTTACTCCTGGTTTACTTGGGGTTCACTCGCTGTTCACTCGCTGTTTGCTCAGT